AGTTCTGAATACCTCTGTGGTCTGATTATTTCCTCCCCAGTTTGGGGATGTTTTCAGCAATTATTTCTTCAGAGACACTTTCTAACCCTTTTTCTTTCTCTTCTTCTTCTGGTACCCCTATAATGCGGATATTGTTACTTTTGGATTGGTCACACAATTGTCGTAATATTGTTTCATTCCTGCAGATCCTTTTATCTCTCTCTGCATCAGCTTGTATGAGTTCCTGTTCTCTGGTTTCTATTCTGTCAGTGGCCTCTTGCATCTTATTCATTCTGCTTGTAAATCCTTCCAGAGATTGTTTCACTTCTGTAATCTCCTTCCAGATGCCATCCCTTAGTTCTTGTATATTTCTCTGCAGCTCTGTCAGCATGTTTATGATTTTTATTTTGAATCCTTTTTCAGGAAGACTGGTTAGGTCTATCTCCTTCTCAGGGGTTGACTCTGTGGTCTTGGTCTGCCTCAAATTCTGCCTTTTCATGGCGATAGTGATAGTTTGTGGAGGTGGCATGAGTTATGGCTGGGAGAACATCCCTTCTTGTTCATTTGTGGCCTTCCTCTCCTGGGAGAACAGCAGCCTCTAGTGGCTTCTGCTAGGCAGCTGCACACAGACGGGGCTTCTGATTCTTACCCGCCTGCTGTGGAGTTTTAGCTCTGCGGTTGCTGTGGGCATGGCCTGCCTCAGGCTGCTGCTCCGATATGGCGGAGCCGCGTCAGAAGGGAAATGGCCGGGAGGTTGTTAACTCTGTGAGGGTCCTCTGAGCTGCCCTGCTGTCCTGGGGGTTAGAGTGCCCAGAGTTCCCCAGGATTCCCAGCTTCTGGGCTAAGTGTCCCAGGACGCTTCCGTCCAGCTTTGGGGTCCCTGTCCTTATAAGACTTTCAAAAAGCTCTCACTTTTCTTTGTCCCCAGGGTACCGGCTGCAGAAACCCTTTCACAGGTCTTACTGTCCTGTTTGCCTAGTGTCTAGCACCCCACGCATGCAGTGTGTCTGTGCTCTGGTGCGGATGGCTAGGGCTGGCTATTTAGTAGTCCTGGGCTCCCTCACCCTCCCCGCTCTGACTCCTCTCCTACCACCAGTAGCTGGGGTGGTCCTGCCGGGCCGGGGCTTATATCTTACCCTTTTGCCAGGGGCTGGGTTCTTGCAGGTGTGGATGTAGTCTGGCTGTTGTCCTGTGTCTTCTGGTCTCTCTTTTAGGAATAGTTGTCTTTGTTGTATTTTCAAAAATATATGTGGTTTTGGGAGGAGATTTCCGCTGATCCACTCACACCGCCATCTTGGCTCTGCCTGGTTATGCGTTTTATTTTTAATTCTTTTTCAGGAAGTTTATTTAAATCTATCTCCCCAGATTTCTTCTCAGGGGAGGATGTGGAGGATGTCTGGGTTAGTCTGGTCTGGATCAAATTTTTCTGCCTTTTCATGTCGATTGATGCAGTGGTATGCTGTTGGCTTGTCTGTCAGCTGGGAGAACTGAGACCCTTTCCACCTGCTCCTGGCCTTTCTTTTCTGGGACAACGGTGATCCCTAGCTGCTTGTGTTGGGCAGTTGTGTGTAGACTTGGGTCTGTTTCTTGCCTGGCCGCTATGGAGGAAGCTCCCTTGCTGTGAGCATGGCCAGCCTCAGGCTGCTGCTCTGTTATGGCGGGGCCGTGCCGGAGGGAGAACGGACGGGGGTCCTGTTTATCTCTGTGAGGGATCTCAGAGCTGCACTGCCACCCGGGGATTAGGGCGCCCGGAGTTCCCCGGGATTCCCAGCTGCTTGGCTAAGTGTCCCGGGATGCTCCCATCCAGCTGTGGGGTGTCTGTCCCTTTAAGACTTCTAAAAAGCACTCACTTTTCTTTGTCCCAGGGGTGCCAGCTGCAGGGACCCACTCACAGGTTTTACTGTCCCGTTTCACTAGTTTCCTGTGCTCCTCACACTGTTTGTCTGTGCTCCGGGTGCAGATGGCTAGGCCTGGCTATTTAGCAGTCTTGGGCTCCCTCTCCATCCCCGCTCCGACTCCTCTCCTCCTGCCGGGAGCTGGGGTGAGGGGCACTCGGATCCCACCGGGCCGGGGCTTGTATCTTACCCCCTTCGTGAGGCACTGGGTTCTCATAGGTGTGGATGTAGTCTGGCTGTTGTCTTGTATCTTCTGGTCTCTCTTTTAGGAATAGTTGTCTTTATTGTATTTTCAAAAATATATATGTTTTTGGGAGGAGATTCCTACTGTCCTACTCATGCCGCCATCTTCTACATTGCATTTTTAGTCCATAAGAAAATGGGGCCTTTGAAACTTAGGTAGTCTGAGGATAAAAGTGCTCTGAGTATAAAATACATATAAGATTTCAAATAATTTATGTATTTTTAAAAATAGAAATATTGTGTTAATTTCTACATTTTGAAATTACATTTTTAAGATATATTGGTTTAAATAAAATAATAAATTATACCTGTTTTTTAAATGTGGATATTAGAGAATTTAAAAAAAATGTGTAAATCACACTATATTTTTATTTAGTGCTGCTCTATTCAGTGGTTCAAAAATTATCCATGGATCTCTAGTCTCAAATATTGTTCCAAAGCATCTAAGTAAAATGAGAGACCAAATCCCTTAAAAAGGAATTTATGTTTTGAAGAGAGGATACTTACTAATTCAAATAATTCTGTAATTGAAGACTTTCTGTGAAGGTAACTTTTTAAGATTGCTACTCTTTAGAGACAGTTTTAGGCATTTTCTCCAGGGTTACTTCCTGTGTGGTGCTGCTGTCTTCTATGGCTTCTTTGCTTTGCTTCTGGAAACCACAGCTTCTTTTTCTTGACCCAGATTCCCATTGATTTTAGTGCTTGTGGTGATGGGACAGGACAGATTAGATGTTTGTAAATTGTGTAGATTAGATGTAAATTGGGGCCACCTTTAATGGAAGATAATGATACAGTATCTGTTTCTCATACTCTAGCAATAACTAATAAAGCATACTGTCATTCCATCTGTAACAATAATGCCAGATCTTTTAATTTATCATGGATTGCCTAAAGAAGTGTTTTCAGAAGGACTGAGTATTGACATTTCACTTAGAAACTGCTTTTAGTAGAACTGAGTTGGGAGTGTAGTAGTTTTTGGTTTATTATTGTTAAGGTTCTGAATGTACGTAGAAATTATTTTCCTCTTGTTGCTAGATTCATAGCTGAAAATTATTTCAGGATCATTTCTCTTTTTATTATGTATGCTGCTTTATGATAACAAAAAAGTTTCTGTTGTAAACATGAAGATTTCACTTTTGTGATTGTTTTATATGCTGTGTGCTACATTTACATTTTTTAAAAATCCAGGAACCCACTTAAAAAGAAAACTATAATTCCATTATATAAATTAAATTCTGATACTGTGTTTTAACCAATAAATGCTATAAGCATAGTGTTGAGGATTTCTAGATAGTTTAGGAGAGGGTATTTTAGAACTCCTGGCTTCTAATTAATATAGAGGCAGGGGAGAGATATCTGGCGTTGTTGTCACTTCATTGATTGCCAGGAAGTTGGGCTGTCATCCTATTTGAAAGGCACTGGTTAGGAATTTTTGTTCTAACATTTTGAAATTATGCTGGCTAATCTTCTTTTGACTAGTAGAAGTAACATTTGCTCAGTTCAGATGATGATACTCAAATGTTTGCTTAGTGTATACGTGGAATGTGCTTTTTTATCTTTTTACTTTTCACTTGGGTCTCCATATTTAAACAAGTAGGTGTCTTGTAGATAGCGTATTGTTGAGCCTTGTTTTTATTTTTATTTTTTTATCCAATCTGATCATTATTTTGGTGTGTTTAGATCAACACACTTTTAAAAATAAAGGACCAGATAGTAAATGTGTTAGGCCTTGCAGACCATACTTGTCTGCATCATTCATGCATTGAACTCTGCCGTTTTAGTATGAAAGCCACCTGGAACAACAGATAAATAAATGAAGAGCATGTCTGTGTTGAAAGTAAAGTATTTAACAAAAGTAGTCAGTGGGCAAGATTTGGCTCAAGATCTAGTTTGTCAGCCCTAGTTTAGAACGTTTACACTTAACATTATTTACTGTTAACATCGTATTAAAATCTATTATCCCGTTAGTTTTTTTTGTATTTGTTATATCTGTTGTTTTTGGTTGTTTTCTGCTTTCTTTCGAATTAGTTATTTTTCTGTGATTCCATTTTGTCTCCACTATTCGTTTATTTATTTATGTCTCAAACATTTTTAGTGGTTGCCTTAGGATTTATAATATACATCTTGAATTAATCATTATTTACCTTCAAATGTTATTATGCCACCTCACCTGTAATGTAAGAATCTTACAGCAGTGTATTTCCAATTTTGGTCTGCATTCTTTGTGCTATTGTTGTCATACATTTTACTTCTACATTATTTTATTTTAAAATCACATTGAGGATTGATTTTGTAAACTTTAGTGTTTAAATCATTCTTTAACCTTAACTGTTAAGGTTTGTCATAGTGAGATACAAGATTCATAAATCTGGTGACTCACAGGAGAGCTAAGCTAGAGAAGCAATAAGGAAAAAAGCATTAGACTAACAAAGTCAGAGTACTGAAGAGATAAACAGCTACATAGTAACATTTCATCCATCATCCATCAATAACCATTCAGAATTTTTCTTTAATTATGAATAATTTAATTATTCTTACTTTAAACTTTAATTTTGTTTTCTCCATGTACTATATAATGAACACTGGAGCCAGATATTCTGTTTTTTTTATCTGACAGACTGAAGATTCTCATCCAGTTCTTACATTCTGGATTATTGGGTGTGTATTTCAGCTTTGAGTTTTTAAGTAACAGACTAATTGGTAACTTACTATTCTTGATGATTTCTAGATACATAAAGCAAGTAATCTGTCATGTTCTATTACTATGCTTGTTTCTCTTAGACATAAGCTTTATTTTATCTTAAGAAATACAGAGTATAAATAATATAGTCTTTATTTATAATTAGCTGGTCTTCCATCAAGAAATTTTTTTTTTTATTGTAGTACTTGTGTGGTAGTAATCGAAAAGACAACATATTTATTGATCCAGGATACCAGACATTTGAGCAAGAATTGAATAAAATACTCCGAAGTTGGCAACCAAGCATACTTCCAGATGGTAATGCTCTTTTAAATAAAAGTGTTGCTAACTTGCTACTGGGATTTTTATTTTTAGAGAAAATATATTAAAAAGTGATGAGGAAATAATTCAAACTAGCATATTTTTTCAGAGTACTTTTTCATGAACTTACCTGTTCATCTTTCATTGAATTAGAAATGAATGTGGCTAATGGCTAGTGATTATGAAGAACTTTGTAATAAATGTGACCTACTTTCTCTGGAATAAGAAACTGGATGTTTATTTCTGAATATTCTGTAAGTATCTCTTTCTTAAAACCTATTTTAGATGGGTGAAGAAAACGTGTTTGTGAATGGAAAACACCTGGTTTTTTGTTTTTTTTTTCAGAAATTCTACAGATTTAAATTCCTTTCTGACCATTGTCTGCTTGTCCTACAGAACAGCAGAAACAAACATCTAGACCCTTACTCCAGAGATGATAGTTCGGAAGTCTGGTGTATTCCCTAGCCTCTGTAGGTATTTCTGAAATTCATTCCAGTTGACCTGGTATGAATGGAGGATTAGAATAGGTTCGTTCTTAAATTAACTTTTATCTTATTTGTAGGTGGTTACATTTATTTACATATATAATATGTAGTATTTATTAAAATTCTTTAAAAATATTTCTTTCTATTTAAGGATCAATATTTTCTCGAGTTGAAGAAGATTATCTCTGGAGAATAAAACAACTAGGATCACACTCTCCAGTAGCTCTTCTGAATACACTGTTCTACTTTAACACTAAGTATTTTGGTCTGAAAACAGTGGAACAACATTTAAGACTTTCCTTTGGCACTGTGTTTAGGCATTGGAAAAAAAATCCTTTAACAATGGAAAACAAAGCATGTCTTCGATACCAAGTGTCTTCCTTATGTGGAACAGATAATGAAGGTAGGGTAACAGATTTTTATTTTGGAATTAGCTGTGTCAGGGATTACCAAACCTTCCTTTACTAAAGACCACCTTGGGTCTTTAGTTGTTAAGAACCTGAGGACTGTAATTTTTATAAAATAAGACAACCTGTATGTTCTTAAAACAGCTCAGTTCATTTTGTTTGAGAGATCATGAATTACCAGAAGCCACTATTAAATCTGAAGGACACCTAATCCCATCCTTTGGCATAACAGATAGTAGGAGTAAATAGAGTGAATAATACTGTCTTTCATCAAGATTGGTCTTAGGAAGTTTATGTAACCTTCTTTTAAAGATAAAATTACTACTGGAAAAAGAAAACATGAAGACGATGAGCCAGTATTTGAACAAATTGAAAATACAGCCAATCCTTCTAGATGTCCTGTGAAAATGTTTGAATGCTACTTGTCTAAAAGGTAAATGTTAATGATAGCTAATTTTTAAAATGATAAAATAAGTTAGTTGTTCTGAATTTAACACTACCCAAGATGTGACATTTTTTTCACTAAACCCTTTTCAGATTTCTCTTCCTTCTCATTTAGATAGATCTAAGTCCATTTGTGACTTTTTAAGTCTCATAATTATAATATACCCAGTTTATACTTCATACTTTAGGATTTGAGCATATGTTAAGAAATTGCTTCCTACTAATGAAATTACTCCTGTTAAATTACAGCATCTTTTAAATTAAAGCAGTTCCAATGACTGTGTAAAGCAGGGGGACACAAACCTTTTTTGTAAAGGTTCAATCAGATGGTAAATATTTCAGGCTTTTTGGACTATGGAGTCTCTTGCAGCTACTCATTTCTGTTACAGCCAGAGAGTAGCCATATACCAAATATAAATAGTTGTGTTATAATAAGCATTACACAAGATGGGCTATAGTTTCCCACTTCTTGATGAAAAGGTATGTTCAAAAGTAGGATAGATAGGTGGAGATAAATTGTGTATTTACATTTAAAATAGCCCTTTTAAAAAGGTCTAAAAGATACCCAGGCATACCTCACTTTATTGCACTTCACAGATACTGCATTTTTTACAAATTGAAGGTTTGTGGCAACCCTGCATCCTGAAAATCCATCAGGGCTATTTTTCCAACAGCATTTGCTCACTTCATATCTTTGTGTCATATTTTGGTAATTAGAATATTTCAAACTTCATCATCATTATAGATGGGATCTCCGACCAGTGATTATGACTTTCTGAGAGTTCAGATTATGGTTAGTATTTTTTTTCAGCAGTAAAGTGTTTTTAAATTATGGTATGTACATTGTTGTTTTGTTTTTTAGACATAACGCTTTTGCATACTTAATAGACTGCAGTATAGTGTAAACATAACTGTTATATGCACTGGGAAACCAAAAAATTAATTTGACCTGCTTTATTGCAATATTCACTTTATTGCAGTGGTCTGGACTGAACCCGCAATATCTCTGAAAGTGCTATGCTTCTCAACTACCACTGCTTTACCCCCAATCTGATACCAATAGACATTTAAAAAAGTTTTAAACTAGTGAAGTGTTTAGAAACCATGAATCATTTCATCCCTGTTCATTATTTTAAGTATGTACTCTTCTTTTTTAATTTAGCATGAACTAATAATGTATTTTATTATATAAACAGTTTTGTAAATTATAGGTCCCCTGGTTAGCTCTCAAGAACTCATAAAAACTATGTCACCTATAGGATGAGAGTAATATTTCTGAAAATGATTTGGGGTGGCCCTGTTTGGCTACAGCAGTATCAGGATCTTCCAGTTGTAGTAACTATTTGTTAGTTGGAAATCCCTATGCCATTATTATCTTGTTGGTATTTTAAAAATTATTTCCATTGTGTAATGCCAAGTATTTTATGTGCTACCCTACTTCATCATTTCTAAGACACATTTTTCACATTTTACTTTCTGGAGCTGGGGTGCATGTTATAATTGATACATTTTGAAATAATAATTGGCAGCATTTTGTTAATTGGCAATATTAAAATAATGATTAAAAATAATATTCTATTGATGCTGTCTTGAATTCAGTCAAGTACAGAATTTAAATTATGGTGGGAAAATAATCTTTTATCACTTTCAAAGTATTGTAATGATAGAATATTTAATATAGGTAATGAGGCATGTTGTCTGACCACATAATGTGATAAACGATCAGTCACATCAGAATTAGTAATTAGATCAAGAATTACTCTTGAAAGAAGAAAAGAAAGTTGTGGGGAGGTTGATATATACTGTGAAATTGACTTTCTCCTTTCTCCCAAAGTCCACAGAATCTTAATCAGAGAATGGATGTTTTTTATTTGCAACCAGAATGCTCTAGTTCTACAGATAGCCCTGTCTGGTACACATCAACTTCACTGGACCGAAACACCTTGGAAAATATGCTTGTACGGGTTCTTTTAGTAAAAGATATTTATGATAAAGACAATTATGAACTGGATGAAGACACAGACTAAAAAGGAAAGTTTCAGAAGCAATCGGGGCATAACAGCATTAGATAGTCATGCTGCTAGATCTTTAATATGAAAACATTTCAAGTTTACTCCTTTTGTTCTGAGTTTTGTAGCAGTGTACCCACACTGGGTATTACCCTGTAAATAATCTGTGAGTGAAAGTTGCCATTATTCTATGTAGTGGTTTTAGGATACTTAACAAATACATTCGAATTCTTTTTTTTATTATTATTTATTTGATTAGGTATGTTTGTAACTTTTTACATTACAAAATATGAATGAGAATGTGCCATGTATAATTTTTTTCTTGTAGTAAGAAACATCCATATTGCACAACTCTGCTGTTGCAAAGCTTCCTTGATGGGGGGCTCTTTTACTGGGTTCTTGACCATATGGTTGTGTATGGGTAGCACTACTAAACGTTTAGAACTTGCAGTGTCTTTCATAATTTTTAAAATAAACTGTAAACTAATAGGCTGGGTTTTTTGTTTTGTTTTTGGGGGGTTTTGTTTAGTTTTATGTTTTAGTTACTGAAGCCTTACAAAGTCATGTAGAGAGATGCCATCTTCTGTACCAAAAATAGACAAGAGAATGCTGTTAATATTGGTGTACTGTAATGTGAATCTATACTGGTAAAAAACAACTCTTTGTTCCCCTTATTAAAACCTTAGTGTCCTTTTCTTACTTGTGGCTTCCTGCATCACCACAATCATTTATACACACACATGTATATACACACTTGTATATATGTGTGTGTGTGTATATATGTATGTGTGTGTATATACACACGTATGAAGATGACATTGAAAACATTGAGACATTTTCTTTGTAAAAATGTCTGATGAAAGTATAAAATTCTGTTTTCTATACTGACCTTAAGTACCCCAAATTTCCTTTATTTATAGAACTTTGACTTTTCCTCCTCCCCCTACCTTAAAGAATACAGATCATGTTGCCATACCTGAGTAGCAATTTAAAATTTTACCAGTTCTATTAGAATTCTTGTGCCTGCCTTCAAATATGACTGATGCATACATTGGATAAAATAATTTTTAGAAATGCCACTCCTGAAATCATAGTTACAGAAAGTCAAACTAGTTTAAATAGGATAGTGTCACATTTTACTATAAAGTTTAGCAGTGTAGTAAATCTATATTTCAGATGATTGAAGAGCAAAAAATGATGGATAAAGTATATCTCACAGGAAATCACATTTGATGTTAGATTGTTTGGCTTTTAATAAAACTTTAATTACTTCTTATAGAAGATAGCATTAAAAAAATTTTGCTTCCGCATAGCATCTATCCGTTCAGGTAAATTACTTTTCTTTCAAAGCAAGGACATTTACTTAAAATCCTGCTTTCTAAAGACTGAGCAATGTGCTAGCTGCAAATTACCATAAATAATTTGGCTGACTTCAAATAGCATGTGTATAATCATGTTGTTTCCTTGTTTCTAATTCCTGAAACACCATGGTGACATGCGTTTTTTAAAACTGATGAGGGTAAATCAGTTGACTTTCCACAGTTGGTCAGGCAATGTCTACACATCCCTTAGATTTTTCTCTCTTCTTTAGGATAAATATTAGCATTCAAAAGAAATTTTCTGTCATGATATGAAAAATTTCACAAGTTAATCTATATACTTAAGCTCTAATTACTATATACTTAAGCAATAATTACTAGAAATATTTTTGGCATAGAAATTATAATGTTCTAATTTGTTTTATAAAGTTTGAATAGCATTTCTGTCCTTAATTTTATATTTGTTGATTTGATAATCAGACGGACAGTAGCAAATTTGGTATTACTTTACTAAAATAGATTGCTCATTGTCTATTTAATGAAGAAAAGTGGATAACATTTAAAATACATAATACAAAAATTTCTTCATGCTTACCTTTTTCCAAAACTATGTGTTTAAGCACTTTTCCTATAAATGCATATTGTTGATTAAAAGATGGTTAATCATAACCACTTTTTATTCTTCAAAGTGGTGCTATATTCCATCAAGAGCAATAAAATTTTTCCCAAATGTCACTTAATATGTATTTACCAAATACCGTACATTTCTGCCATGGTACTACTATTAAAGCACCTTGTTTTGCTCTTTCCATTTCCTTTATTGTACATTTTAGATTTCCTAAACAGAAATGTCTACCCAATTTTGATCTTGACATGATTGAGGATTTAGAGCTCTTGTCTTTGTCTTGATTGCAATCCAAGAATTGATTAACTTGACTCTCAGGGTGAAAAGAAAAATACTAGTTTGGAAGAATTGTTTGTTCTGTGAAACTTATTTCACCTAGAATGCATCTCATTGGTTCCTGGATCTCCTTAGTTTGTGTGGTCATAGTTGACTGCTGAGAAAAAGGAACAATGAAATGATAGCAGTTTCTTTTGCTTTTTAATGATTTCTGATTATAGCATCCTGTAAATAGAACTTTATTGTCTTAAGATGTCAACTGGGAGATGCTATATTTTTCTGTTTTGAAGATTTTGCCATTAAAAATGAATCAAAGTTTTGATTCATATTGAAAAAATGAATTTCCCAAATTGAATCTTCATTAACACTATTAAAGGCTTTTAACTGTATTACATAATATATTAAAGAATTTTTCTAGGCAAGAAACTCAATCTTTTTTTTTAAAGTTTTGCCATAAAAATGTTTTTTGTTTGAATACTAGTTCATGTTTTTATTTTATTACACAGAGTTGTTACTAGTGTGTTATACATACTGAGATAGGAGAGGATATTGTACTATGCACTCAAACTTCTTTCACTGTTTTTCTGAAGGGAATTCCCCTTTGTCCTGGCCAGTTGTAATTTGGGAGTGGGGTGACTCATTTATGCAGAGTATTAAGGATTACAGTAATGGAGAAGTCATAAAATTGCAAAGTTTTGGTTTGTACTACTCCAGTATGGGTCCTTTTAATTTGAGGTCTTAAATGTTTTACAGTCTTAAGTCACTATAAAAATTCACACTTACTTTGTAAGTTATTTCCAAGATGTATTATTAAACATATGCCACTTATGTTCTAAGTTAACATTGACTATAGGATAATCTCCTTGTTCCCCTCAAACAAAATAGTCATGGAAGTGTACAAGGAAATATTTTTAAAGAATAAATTTCTTTCAGTAATAACTTTTGGATTTTCCCCCTTAGTTAAGACCCTCACTCATTTTTAGAGAAGTTCTTTAAATTTGAGTTAACCCCATTTTTCTGTATTTAGAAATAGACCATTTTTAATGCTGTTTTCCAGTGTTAAGTACTTATTGGTTGTTTCTGAGTATATTATACTTGAAAACTATATGCTAAGAAATCTTAAAATTTAGAAGTTTATATCCAGAACAGGTTAATTGCAACAGTCTGAGTCTGAGTAGAAACACTTAAAGTTGTGGCTCCATTTATACTCTTCTTTTTCTTTACTTGGGAGTGAGATCAGGGACACCCCAAAAAAGTCACTGTGATCCCCATGTTATAAGGAACTGGGCAAGAGGAAGTCATTCTAAAATCTGGGCAAATAATATCCTGACTAGTTACTGAGTTAAACCAGTCTGTGAATTTAGGCCTTTTGAGAAAAAAGAACCAAAGAAGCTAAGGTTTAGTTTGTAAATAATATATTGAGAACCAAAGAGAGGGCCACAGACCGTGTGAGTCCACCATTGGAGGTCATTGTATCACCAAGTGAAAGTAGGTGTGAATCCTAACTGAGCATGTTTTGTGCTGCAATGGAATGAACAATAATAGCTCTTTCTGGAACTTTCAGCCACAGACTTCTGTATGTCATTTATTCTGTCAATGTGTTTATCTGTAAAATGAAGGCACTGCCTTGATTTCTGATTCTGGAATTCCCAAGTAAGTATGTTTGATACTGTATTTAAGAGACTTGGTAGTAAATTTTAAAGGTTCATCTTTGAATTATATGATTTATTTAGAAACACATTTTCATGGAAAGGAGAGACATCTTTCCTGAAACAGCTTTAAGACAGCATTCAATATAATTTTCTAAGTCCTATTCAAATAATTCCTTAGAAGTAAACTCAGCACATGAAAACTCATCACAAAGCCTAAACAACAAATCTTTGTTATATATTTCTTCTGTGCCAAAGAACTACTGCCAACCATAGTAATTAGGGAGAAAGAGAAAATATTAAAACATTAGAGTTCCAAAGCTTACAATTACAGGGGGTAAACAAAAATAATTCTGTTGTATGTACATTGAACTCTGGGGAATATACAGAGAATGTATTCATGGTAGTTTACAACAGGGTTTTGGACACTTGAATACCCTGAAAGGTGGTCATGGTCTAGCGTAGGTTTCACAGAATTACCACCCCTTGCAATTACATAAAACATTAATCTACAACCTTTTTGACACTGTTTTTTGCTCTGTTAAAAATGGTCTGTGGAGCAATTTCTGATGATTTTTTTATGGTTCCATTTTGAAGGCATCAGTCCTCATCTCTGACATTGAGACCAACTAATTACAAGAGTAGTTAAAAATAGTACCCCAAGGGGTAGAGTGTGCCCACCATGCATTAGAAATCTAAAAGGTATTAAACACATTGAATCAAGGTAAGTAATTCAACTTCTAGATTATGTAGTATAGACAGAACATACAAGGTCCAATATATATGATGGATATTTTTTAAAACCTTCACTAAGTGTTTTATTCATAGCAGTTGCTTTTGAAAATAGAATCTCAATTTCTAAATTACTGATGTACTATTCTAACCCTATTAATCAAGATTAAGCCTTTGAATTTTGTTGGTGTACTGTGTAGTTCTAGATTGATGTCAGCAGATGGCAATAGTACACAGCACAAAGCTTAAATTGACTCATGCTACTATAAGTGTACTATAATCCTTTATCAGAAACTCTTGTAGGTTTTAGAATTTAGAATTTGCCCTTTTCAAAAATACATATGCTTGTAGATTATATAACATCCTCAGTGGGTTCTGGGGCAGTGCCTCAAGTCTTGACAGTAAGTCAGCCATCGTAATTGGGATAAACTGTGTATGACTATACCCTTTACATAGTTCAGGACCTCAGAATTGGTGATAAGGAACTGCAGATGTATAATAAAACTCATATCTAGTATTTTTCTTCTAATAAAAGAAATAGTATTTTTCTCTTGATTAGTTTTGGTAGAGGTAATTGAAGACATTTGCACGTTAAGAAAAATGCAAGATATGTTTCGAACAGGCATAAATATAAATGGCAGTTCTAGAACAGTTACTGAATTCTGAAACTTAAAAATAACTATTTTCCATTTTGTCTCAATATTTGCAGCATAATTCTAAGTAAATATACAACTTTATAGCTGTTGCAGTCATGGCATGGAGCCAGTTGTTTATTCATTCAGCAAATAACTTGAGTGGTTATTCTTTCAAGCACACTAACACAGGTACTGGGGATGCAGGATGTAAGGAGAGAAATGAAAGTGTGATGGAATGTCAGAAGAAGAGAGGGACTTGGGTGTTATTTAGCATAATCACTTGTGTTACAAAGGAACAGTACTTGGTACTTCAAATAATGTATTAAGATCCTGCTCTTAGCCCAACTCTGACTCCTGACTGTAGTTCCAGGTTTCTCTAATATCAATTAGTCTATTTCCCGTTCTGGAAAGGGAGAATTGCCAACTGCTTATAGGATGCAGAGACAGATGCAAATTGGA